TATCATGCAGACTAACGATTGTGCGGTAGACAACAGTTTGGTTTAAGGGGGCATCAAGATTCTGGTCGTATATCAATGAAAGAACCAATTCAAAATGATGGGAATTTTCGTTGTCTTTTGAGACATCGTGCACAACATGGAGATAATACGCTAAAAAAATATTTAGAAACTTGTAGTTCCAATGCCATGTATACAAGTCCACTTATTCAAAATGAAATTATTAACATTTTTGGAGAACTTATTCAATCAGAGATAATTAAAAAAATTTTGAAATACAGGTGATGAATCCGCTAAAAAAATATTTAGAAACTTGTAGTTCCAATGCCATGTATACAAGTCCACTTATTCAAAATGAAATTATTAACATTTTTGGAGAACTTATTCAATCAGAGATAATTAAAAAAATTTCAAAATCAAATTATTTTTCTGTACTTGCCGTCGAAACGACAGATATTGCACAAATAGAACAATTTTCAATTTGTATTCGGTATTTTGAAGAAGAGTTGGTGGTTCTTCGAGAAGATTTTCTTACTTTTGTACCAGTTCATGACGTAACTGGTCTTGGTTTGGCAACCGTTTTACTAAATACATTGAAAGAACTTGGTTTGGATTTGGATAAATTACGTGGACAAGGTTACGATGGGGCTGCTACTATGTCAGGTAACTTTCGTGGTGTTCAGGCAATTGTGAAAATGAGTTACCCAAAAGCTTTATACACTCACTGTGTTTCTCATTCCCTGAATCTTTGCTTATCTGATGCTGCCAAAACACAAGCTATTCGTAATTCATTTAGTATTATTTATGATTGTTGTGCTTTTTTCCATTCCTCAGCAAAGAGAACGACAATTTAAAAAAATAAAATTATAGAGATCCTACCTAACGCTCAGTCGTTCAAATTAAAGCGAAACTCGGTGGGTTTTACGCCACGAGTCTGTAATGCTGTTTAAGGAATTTTTAGAACCTATTGTCGCTGCGCTTGAACAAATAGATTGTGATTCTTCAAACTGAACAACTAGCTTATTAAATACCATCTGTAATTTTAAATTTTTAGTTTCTGTCTGCGTATCATCTAAATTATTAAGTTATACTTATCATTTATCAGAATACTTGCAAACTAAAATATTGATTTAGTAAATGCCCTTGATAGAGTGAATCAGGTAAAAATCCAACTTCAAATATTAAGAGATAATGCAACTGATGAATTTTATAAGATTTATGAAGAAGTCAATCGCCTAGGAGGTTTAATAAATGTGGAAGAAAGTATGCCACGAATATGCATTACTCAAAGAAACCGCCAAAATATTCCTTTTCAAAGTACTAAAGAATTTTATAGGAGAACAGTTTTATACCTCACCTAGATGATATACTTTTATCATTGAATGAGCGTTTTTATCACATCATGAAATAATAAATTCTCTGCAATACGTTTTACCAAATATGATTGTAGATAAGCCATATTCAAATCTTAAAACAGCAGTTACATTTTACCAGAATGATTTAAAAGGTTATGATGACATTATAGAAGTTGAATATCAATTATGGCAGTCGAAATGGAACTCAGTTGATTCTCGGCCATTGACGGCTATCGAAGCACTTCATCAATGTGATAAACTAATGTACCCAAACATGTATGAGCTTCTTAAGATACTATCAATACTTCCTGTTTCAACAGCAACTGCAGAGAGAAGTTTTTCAACATTAAGGAGATTGAAAAATTATCTTCGAAACACAACATCTGAATCACTGCTTGTAGGATTAGCTCTATTATCAATTCATAGAGATGTAAATATTAGTGATGATATGGCACTAGATAATTTTTCGAACAGTGGAAAAGCTAGACGAATAAAATTAACAATATGATTAAAATAATAATTTATTGTTTAAAAATTTTAAATATAGTTTTTTTAATCACTTATTTTGCATTTATTATTTTTTTGTAACTGATCAGCCCCCCCCAAAAAAAAAAAAATAAAAATAAAAATTCCTAGATACGCCACTGTGTGATACCTACAATAATTTAAAAAACACGATTCATTAAGAATTTACAAAAACAAAACAACCCGGAACACGTGTTTTTTTGTGATTGTAACCACATATATAGAGTATTAGCGATTTCAATAACAATTTTTTCATTTCTGCAGAAATAATTCTACATACCAGCCCCAAGTAACACATAGACAATAATAAGATATTAATAGAATATTTGAAAAGAATGTAAGGAATATGCATTGATTATTCTTCATTTTTAATTTACTCATCTATGAATGAGCATGGAATATTAAAAAATCACCAAATGAGCCACTTTTAGGCATTCTATGAATAATCCGTATATTCAGAATAAACTATGAAACTTCCACAAGAATATTCATTTTGGTGTCTTAAATCATTCATTTAATGATTATTGGATAATCGTAATTGATTGTTACTTAATTAACCAATGAATATTTAAATGGGACTCCCAATATTTATTCTTTGAGCAACCAAAAGACAATAAATGAATAATACATATATTCATCATTTTTATAATTTTATATTGAAGTTCAGAGTTTGATAATTTTGAAATAATATATTATTAATATGTGTTTTCATTAGAATTCTAAATTAACTTTTAATTAGTAAATAAAAGTAGTTACCTTAAGTAAAACATTTGTTAAATAATTAATTTAATTAATATTCACAATTCTATAAAACAAAACAAGTAAGGTTATAATTAACAATGTTTCTTTTATTTTTATTATAAAATATATTACAAATTCATAATAATTCTAAACATGTTTAGATCTTTCGCCAGCTTTGCTTAGCCAAATGCTTGCAATTGTTTCAATTTCTTTAATTGATTTATCAGCCAAATCGGCAGTTGAATTTATAGCTTCTAAAACAAAATAAAGTTGAATTATACAACTAGTCAAATTTGTATTTGGTATTATTTTATTTTTATAATCATTTGGCCATATTTAAATAATAAAATAAAAATTCTAAGGATCATTCCATGATCGCCACAATATGTTATAATGCTAATTTCCTGACTTCCATATTTATTCAAGATGCACTAATAAAGTAAATAAATATTTTGTATATCATTTTTGTTAATTTGATTTTTTTTTTAAATAATAATTAGTATTATATGACATAAATTGAATAAAATAACTTAGTTACCAACTGATGTGTCTATAGTTTTATCAATAAAAAATAGAAATATCTTTTAGATATTATAATTAAAAGTAATTCAAATTTATCAGTTAATTTGTATTTTTTTTAAATATTACAACTTAAATAGTGTCTAATAAGTGTTAATATGTTATAAATTATAATATTATCATTTATAAGATATTATGTACTCTACAGACTTAAATTCAATCTAAAAATTAAAATTAATTTTCGCTTATTTAGATATATTTATCATACCTATAATATATAATTATAATCCAATAATAGATATAATGAGTATAAACTTTCAATATAAAGAGAGTGAATGTAAATTAATGTCTCTATTTTTTGTTTTGACCCTGTTCAAATATTAAATTGTATAACTAATAAAATAAAATAAAATAGATACTTACTTATAAGAAATGAAGACAAAATAGTTTTATTAATTGCAGTAATGGAATTTTTGTGACCAGTATAGCTGAATGTTTTGGCATATTCATTTGATATTAATTTTCTTAATCACTGACTCTTTAACTTCACCTCCTCCAATTAAGGATAACATTTTTACCTGTTATAATAACACAACTGTATTAAAAATTATAATTTATAATTAAAAACAAACACTTACAGTTTTGTCATATAAAGTGTTATTAATGTTGTACACATAAAGTGTTGGTTAATGTCTGTTGTAAATTATTTAATGATTCTTCATTTGATACTGGCAGTGTTTCATAAATTTGTTCGAATTCATTATGACTAGATGATGAAGTTCCAATTGATTGATCAGTAGATAATTTATTCTGTGTTTTTTGCATGTCATTCAACATCATCATAATTGTGTGCAAATACTCCCCATGTTCCTTACTTCTGGCATTTAATGTTACTAATTGTCTAATGATCTGTGTTTGCACTTCAATTTAATTTTAAGTAATGAAATCCATATTATTCAAAATTATATTATTAATAAATAGTTATTGTCTAATAAATAATAATTAGTGAATCATTATCAAACTATGATAATAGAGTACCTACTCATTATTTTAGAAACTATATAAATTTAAAATTATGTTATATTTTAATTTTAAACTTAGTATTCCAATTTGATTTAACTAATATCTGTTAGTTATGTTAAAATTTAATTTATGGCATTATTTTTAAAAGATATTCAAATGAACCTGAATCACAGCTTTTCTTTCCAAAAGGACTTTCATTTTGTACAGACAATGATATATTTTCATCTTCAAGATCTGTAACTGCTTGCAATTCTTCCAACAATAATAGATCTGAATGTTCTTCTGACTGATTTACAGCTGAAAAAATATAACAATAACACAACAATTTAATTTGTTCTAATTCATATTGATAATCATGCATTAGAGTACCTAACACTGAACACAATCAATTAATGTATTAATCTTAACTTTTGTAATACATTAAAATGTATTAGTGTGTAATGTGTATGAATATAATATAATAATATATTTAATCTACTACCAATTCATATTTAATGATCATGTAACTTAGGTACCTACATAAATATTTTTTTAATAGTTACGTACAATTACTCAGAAGATACAATAATTATACAATAGATAAATGATTTATACATACTGTACTCGGAATTATTATATTATAATAATATGTATAAATCATAATAAAATATCTATTTGATTACATAAAATTCAACACTTACTTAAATTGTCTGATTGTTCGATATCTATACTAAGGTCCATATTAATATAATCTTTTTTATTAGAATCGTTTTCAAAGACATTGCTTCTTGTTTCCTCTTCAACTATATCTTTGTCAACAATTTCTTCTAAAACTGCAATTTCTTAAATATACAATTAATAGAATTTTAGAAGGTGCTTATGTTATATATTTTGACATCATATATAGTCAAATAGCAATATTAACTTACTACTTGTGAAATTGGGAAAAACAGGAATATTATAAGATGTTTGTCGTTCTTCATCACTGCCACTACTTAGATCATTAAAGTCAACTTTGCTAGATCTTTTTCGTTTAATCGTAGTATTAATGAGTTCAGCTTCTGATGCTGATGAATATAGTGTTAATGTTTTGTCAGCACATTTTGAAGCTTCGTTATAATTTGAAAACATTTGTTTAGATATAACTTTAATTGAATGTAACTTCCAATCACTGCTTGATTTTGATTTATTTTTAATTGCTGCTTGCAATTTAAAATTCCCCATTTTTTCGGGCCAAAAGCATTCATTAAAATGTTGTATCCAGTTACTTGGAATTACTTCAATAAGATTTTTTTCATTAGTAAATTTAACAACATACCAACCAGCCATCTTAAACCTACGAAAATAATATTTGTAAAATATGTTATATACAGGAGATATCTTTAATGGTTTATAGTAAGTAGTTTTATATGAAATATAGTATAATAATATAAATAATACACATCTGGAATAACTATGCAACATAGTTATGTTAAAAAATGGTAAAACACTTATTATAAAATGTATAACTTTACAAAATGTACAAAAATGTATTAAATTGATTTTACAATTTAATTTTAAATATTATTCAGCTGTGTGTAGTAATGGAATTACTACAAACCCAGTTTGATATGGCATACGAATTAATTTTTGATGAACATTTGATAAAGGCCAATATGAATAACATTCATTCAAACTGTCAACCATATGGATTCCAATTATTGAGGAACATAAAGGTTTAGTATAAAAGTCTTATACATTATTATATATACGACCGATAACAACAACTTCCTTTAATGTATGACAATAGTCAAAATTTGCAATTTCAATAACAGAGTTGCATTTTAATTTACAGCAAGAATCTTGTAGATTTAGACCAAGTTTAAAATTGGTAAAAACTACTTCTTTATATTGAGGATCTGAAGTATCACTTATTAAAATTCCATTATTATATTCTTTTTCAAACCTAAAACTTCCAATTTTTAATTTAGGCGAAGTGGGTAATGTATGTAAACTACTTTCCTCTGACAATCTATGCACTATTTGAGATAAAACATTATTATGAGTTCTTAACAATTTTTAAATTTTTTGTAGGTAGTTTTCAGATGAAAAGTTACTAAACAAATTTAAATTTCCAAACTTTCTGGCATCTTCAGTGATATGCAATAAATTATGAAAATTATGTGACATTATTTGAGGACTGTAAATTAATTTTGAAGACAGAACAAAACGCTTTATTAACTCTTAAGCATACTCAGTCATAGTTTCCATTAACTCATCAGATGATAAAATACGGATAGCAACATGGAGTGTTAAAAAATGTTCATATTTTTTCTTATCTAAATTATTTTTCAAAACAATTATACCAGTGTATAATAAAAATTGTCGAAATTCTGTTGCTTTAAATCGTTTAGCTTCTTTGATATGTCTCGGCTTTCTTACAAATTCATGTGGAATATATCTGACTAAACTCAATGTTTCTGATATTTTATCAACTGTACTTAATTGTAATTTATAAGGAGGTCKTCCAAAACACCATGTGTTGACTAATAACTTTTTAACAACACCTAAACAAACCAGGTGCATGTAGTCTAGAGGAACATCAGTTACTAGTCCTAAATTGGAAATTTGCTGTAGAATAGTCCAGCGTCCAGTGTGGTGATCTGGATCAGATTGATTAACAAAATCATTATCAGTCCTCTTAACAAATTGGACATCTAGGAAAATCACATGGTCTGAATA